TCGAAGTTTCTTTAGTGGATCTTTCCAAACTGCCAGCAAGACAAGCAAATTGCCAAGCACTATTATGGGCGCCATGACTATCGAAAGAACAGAACTGGTGGCCGACAGAGGCTTGACATTCTCTAAATGTAGCCATGCATCTTGTAAAGCTTTCTCGCTTGTTATGGTCCAGAAATTGTAATGACCGACGACGGCTGCCATTAGAAGTGGTCAGAAGCTCCTTTTTTACGTCCGCTGACCACACTTTTTTCTTGTGGATGTGATCTCAGCCTACACTGTACAGTGTACACTGTCTTCTGAGCAACATTTACTCTTTCCCTAGAGTTATTCGACTTTCGCGTGAAAATACGTGATGTAAGTTCAATGATTTACGTTTTGATTTAAAAAAAGATTATCGATATTGACCGTCTTCATTGTATTGTAGGGTGGGCAGCAGGTACTGAGAACGAGCGTTTTAATTGGCTAAAGAAACAATAGATGAATGACCCAAGCAAACTCCCTAGCCCCAGAACAGTAGCAGGCGTGTTTTAAAGGCTAACTAAAAGTCTTCGTGGCTCCAGACTTTGATGGTCGTGCATCTGACTTCAAGTTTAAAAATCAAAGCACTACTTTTCGTCCACTTGTGATCGATTTCGTGTTGTTGTTTCGCTTTGTCATCTTTTTCGTTGCCCTTAGAATGGCGGCTCAGCTAGTAGCGGAAAGAGCTCTCTTCCTCTCTGTCTCTCTAAACGTAATAAGTATAATAAATTTTCAAACTAACCCGTAACAGATATTATATTGTTAATGCTTCAGATATATTGCTCTTTGGTTTTTTGTTCTCAAGCTTTCAATTATTGGCCTTAAAACAGACAAAAAGTTCACTGTAAATAGTTACACACAAGAAAAATAATGAACAATTTGTTATAAATTACTACATTTAGATTTTTAAATCCTTAAGCTGTTTTCGTGTGTGGGATTTTCATCCCGCCAACAACACAAAGGAAATAACTTCACTGAACTGGAAAACCACCAGTGATCCACGTGACTGCAGCTATCTTTAAATCTGCAAATCAACTTTTCAATAAACATCACTTTCTCGACCACAATTTCGCATGATAACCCTCAGAAAGTTTAACAAGATAGAACAAGGGGAAGCTAATACGTACGGTAGAACCAAGTTCCCGTTAGGGTGTGAGTAGCAAAAAGACACTTACAAAATATACGCACGGGCTGTGACCAAAATCCTGAGTAAAAAAAATGACCGAAATGTGCAGTGTATAATTTTGGTGCTCACGGATTCAGTGAAAGTTAAAGATCGAGTCACGTTTACTTTTCCAATGTAAGGATTTATTGACTTAAATTCAGCAATCAATAGTAAAATTTAGACTATACTGTAGGCTGACCAAATTGGAGTAGTTCCACCTCCCAATAGCAATAAAAAATTGAGAGTGTTACAAAATTTCTCTTTAATAATACCTCTTTTCTAGTTACGTATACCTTTTTTGGATAGCACATCACCACAATTTGCCGTTTTGTCCATAGATTTTTATAGTCAAGTACCAGATTGACTTGGAAATATAACCAGTCCAGAAGAAAAAAAGTTACTTTTCACGCGTCACTCAGTCGCTGAGTTACTAGCTTTCCCGCTTTCGTTAAGCAGTTAAGTTGAGACTTTTTGAGACAATTAAGCCGTTGAAAAGGAGAAAGTTTAAGTTAATTTGTGTGTTCTCATTTGCCTTTAACTGAAGGAAATGACAGAATTGTAAGCGTTTAACACGAAAACGAAAATGGCAAGAAAACGTGTTGAAAGAACAAAGTTCAAACTTTTTTCCCCTTTTTTGTAGCTTTCATATTAGTTAGTTAAACACGATGTGACGGACTGAGGAAACTAAAAAAATGCACTTGCACTTGCACTTTTTATTTGAGTCTCAATGTATTTAGCCCGAAAGTGCTAAATGGGACACTATATTTTACGTCTCCTAATGGAGACGGGACCGCCATTTTACGTGGTCATCCGAGCCACGCGAAGGTCCAGCCGCCTGCAGGGCAAGGGAAGTACCTTCATTTCTCAGTTATTTTAAGACCCTGAGTATTGGTTCGGCCCCGGGAATAGAACCCGCGACCTCCCTCTCAGCAGTCAAACACTCTACCGACTGAGCTAATCCTGCCGCGGCTAATAACAATAACAACGTTTAAAATATTGTAAGTTATGAACAAATATAAATTAATTGATTTACTGCATCTGCCAAGTTTGTAGTTGTCGTGTTTTTGTATTAATGTCGTTTTTTTACGAAAAAATATTGTCCTTGTGATTCCCCGTGTAAGTAAGCCTAGCCTGTATAAATGTAGCGTTATGAAATTTTTGGGCCGTTATTTATATCCGTCATCATAACATTGGTTGTGATGAAGAATAGTTATACTAAGGCCTGATTAAAATGCTAGCCTTACAATAAATGCAATATCATATATAAGACAACTTTGTTTATTGTAAGTACTTTTATTTTATAATTCCATTTTCTCAAACACTGCGTTCAATGCTGAGTTATTCCCTCACCCCAATTTAAAGAATATGGACATACAAGTAAGAAACTTGACGACTGATCGTTTGAAATCTTGGCTGATTCACTGAGAGGATTATGTGAAATGGATATGAAAGTGGTTTCCTTGAATAATCTATCGTCTATATATCTGGGTGCTTTTAGGAAGATCAGTACAGAAAAGTTTTACAAACTCCTCACGCCCCCGCGCCTCACGCCATCTTGTGAGTTGATATATGAATGAAAAAATGTCGTGGATAAGTGGACAACTGAAGTATTCTCTTTACATTATATCAAAATGCTATCACTAAGTTTGGACGGCAACACACAAGGGTACAGTTGTAAAAAAAATGAGTTACAACAACAGGAGCTTTAATGATGCAAGATTACAAAGAACGTCAGCGGAAAATGACCCGGTTCGGATTGACTGTAATGTTCGAGACATGCGTCAGTAATAGCCTAAGAGCCGATAAACGTCATTAACATTAAAAAACCAGCATGATCTTTACTGACCCATGTTATTTTAACGCATAGCACACATGATCACCGATTTCTTAGGCACCAGAATAAATGAACGCTGGGTAATTCTTGAACTACAAGAGTTACAGTGTATCTTATATTGGTGGAAAAAGGGAAGACTAAAAAGTCACATATTTTATTTATATAGGATTTTTTTTTATCGTTTGTCTCACGATTGTCACTTTGATATTGATCGCGACGTTTCGACCACAGTGGGTGGTCGAAACGTCGCGATCACTATCAAAGTGACAATCGTGAGACAAACGATAAAACTAAACCCTTTATACACATTATCCACGATGATTAATATCTTCATGACATATTTTATCCACTTCTACCTTTCAGCAGTTATTGCATAAATTGAGCTTGTAATTTATCAGATAATATATTTTATTGTTTCCACTCAAGAACTTAATTGCCCTTTGCTTTATTTGAGACATTGTTCGCCATTGAATCTTTGGGCACAAAATTAAGACAAAGCGGACAAGCGGACTTAAAAAGTTACCTTTATATTCGTTTTTATCGTGCTAATAATGCATGACTTGAAAACGGACAATTCAAAACAAGAGCGTCGATGCAAGGAAAACAGAGTCGATATCGCATTGATACCAAGTACTCTATGAGAACTGGAAAATTCGAAGCACGGATTGATTGGGTGTATAATTTCGTATATATCAAATACTGTGCAGTATTTTGTTGCTTACGCTCATCCGCCGAAGCTACGGGAGAATCCATAGTAATAATAAAAGTCCAAGTGTCACGCTTTTATTTTCAAAAGTTTACTATGTAAATTAAAAGCATTTTTAAAGATAATAAAGGGAATTTCTTGCTTCAAGATATCGATTTAGTAACTTTAATTTAACAAGAAAATTCTTCCATTTTGCGTCATGACGTCAAAATGTGCTAAGAATTAAAAAAAAATGGCAAACCAGTTGCCGGTGAGTGTCTGAGGTGATGTTCTTTCCACAATTGGACGCTTTCTGTAGTCTACTACTGAAGCAAAGCAAAATGTAATCTATCTTTAAGAGAAATTGTATGCTCGAAGATTTGAGCTACTTTTCGTTTGGGCTTCGTTTTTGCTTTTTTGTTATTGTAAACTGAATACGTCTGAACTCTTTAGCTACTGAGTGCCGTTCTTATACTAAAATAGCTAACTAAGCTGCCACGCTGCTGTCTCAGCAGAGTGAACTCAATAACTGTATATTGGCCATATTAATCATTGACGTCAATAAGTATATAATTATTTTACCCGCATGGTCCAAATATGATCAGCGCCCGCCGGTTTTAAAAAATTAGCCAGGGGAATTAAAGCCAATCAAAAACGGTGAAACATTTTGAATGAATAAGACTTCTTTACAATGCTTTTTTTCTCTTCACTTATGCCCTTGCTTAGTAGTTAGTTTTTGTAAGTTACGGCTGAAAATGAGAAACTTTCCTATTCTCTTTCCAGGCTCTTTCCTGTTCTTTTTTTGTGGCCAAGTCAACCACTGTCATCAAAAGTTGAATTGTTCACAAGTACACATGACCACACCCCGCACCTAATTATAACTACACAGTCAGTTCGGTAAAACCCGGGGGTGGTGCACTCAAGAAACGTTAGATGTACAGCCGAGGCCTTCAAGCTTAGACCCTTTTTTGGACCAAAGTTCTTCATTTCGCTACCCTGTTTAAGACGCGACACATTATTTCATGACCCTGATTAATTTTTTTTTCGCACAGAGAGTGAGGTAATTTTTAAACTGTCGCCATTAAATTAAGTTTTTGAAATTGTAATAATAATAGTAATAATAATAATATAATAATAATAATAATAATAATAACAATACCCGAAATGTAGACGACTTATTGCCAACCTTAGAGTGCTGTTAAAACAGTCAACTCTTGTTTCACAGAGACTCTTACAAGAAGGATGCCTTCCTAGAGAAAAAAACTGAGAGTTGAGTGATAAAATTCATATTTGCTTTCTTATAAACTCTCTTATAATGAAAACTTTATGACACGGAATCCACGGATTCGTCACAACGGTGTCTGTCATCAGTACAGATAGTTCTCTGTAATTACATATTTCTAACCTTTATCCTTTCATCTGCCAAATGCGGCCAAAGTCATCATTCGACAAAATTTCTAAATTTTGTTTTCTAAAATGTTAATAAAACAATAAAGTACGAGGTGAAGTTACCGCAGAAGAGGTTTCATTTCAAAAGTCACACCACAGGATTTCAACCAATCAGAAGCACTACATAGACCTGAGTAGCGACACCTCTCAGTATGAAATTTCTGCGCTCGTTCCTCAGAAGTCAATTGGCGGGAAAACCGCTTGATGGCGCTGCGAAACGTCGGCTAATTTCTCACGCTAAGAAACAGCTGGAATACATATGTTACATTTTTGCACTTTTTACAGGAGCGCGTCTGCTCTAAGTAAATAAACAATGCATCTACTAAACAGTACTTTTAAATATTTTGTTCTTAAACCATTTGTTACCCGGCATTGTTCAATGAAAAAAGGGTAGCATTTAGACATGAAACTGAGTTTGTTTGGTTGCAAACTTTCAGGACGAAAAGGTCGTACTCATATTTTGCTAACTGTTATTAAAAGATCGTCGAGTTTGTTTTCAGTAAACGGTCTTAAGTTATTTGTCTTTAAACACCTTTCTTGACAATTAACATGTATTATTGTCTGATAATTCAGATATGCAATTTGCTTTTCTTGCCTTTATCCCGATAAAAACTCACTTTTGGGATCATTAAGTTGCTGTTGTTATTGTTTTTGTTTGTTAGGAAAGTAAGTCTGTATAAAATCATGTCATATTTTGGTAATTATAAGGATATCGCGTTGCCTTCAGTGAAAGGACATAAGACCTATGTAACTTAAAAAATACATTTTTCATTGCCTTTAAACGCTTTTCATTGCTATCTGAAAATTCTATATTTCCAGTTCAATTTTCTTTAAAATAGACTAAGGAATATAGTTTTAAACCTCAGTGTGTCCTCAGCAAAATCCTTGTATAATGTAATAATTTGCCCATACTTTTGCATTTTGTTTAAATGTATGCCAGGTTGATAAAAAAGCTATTTTGAAAGACATAACTGGTATCTGGACGAAAGCACCTACTGCAGCACGCAATGAAATTTGCGTTTGAGAAAAAAAAACAAAATGAGAAAAACTTAATTCGTGATTCTTTTTGCTGATCTTGACAGTTTTCCTGTCTGCAGCACATTTTTTTTTTCGCCACATTGAAAAACACCTATGAATTGATTTGTGGAGCTGTTTCATGCTAATGAATGTCATTCGTTAAGAAAACTGACATTGCCTTGTTAAGATAATTTTTTATTGTTTTCTTTTCATTCTTGTGCTTGAAAACTTAGTTTTGAGTGTTATGGCCAGTGTTATTTCCACTCTAAAACAATAAGCAAGTAAAAGGCGTCACCTCTCTTGGATACTCCAATAATTAACGGCAAAATATTCTCGTGCGAACAGTTCGGTATTGTAATAGAAACGGAGCGTTTTCACATGACGTCACAGCGGCAATATTGTTGTTCCACAACTCAAGTAGTTTAAAACCTGAGACTAAGGGGTTTACCTGTGGAAAATGATTTATTGGCTATAACTTTGGCGTAGATGATGGCGCTGAATCAAAATTTGGCACACTTAAAAAGCTCATTGTCCTTAACATTTTAAAGTATAATTATTGTGTTTAATAAGTAACGTGATATGTCAGGTGACCGTTGTGTTAAAAATTGTAAACTATTGACCAATTGGTGGCCGGTTTAAGAAGACAAATCAAGCAATAACATTTTTCTAATTCATATTAAATATTTCTAACAATTCACGTTTGGAATGACCATTTTAAATGCCGAAATTTAATCCCGAATTATTTAAAACTTTAATTTCAAACTTCGTGTACATTCAGTCCAAACATAGAAAGCAAGGTAACTTTATCCTTTTTCAGAAATGCCAATTTGTTTGTCCAAACAAAGAAAATTTGCCACAATTTGGCCAATTTCCTTCAATTTCAATTTTTGGTCACGTGACCTGTCACGTAACCATAATTAAACGTTAAGGTACAAGAAAACCTCAAGATGTACCTTTGGGGAAAAATTCATTTCGTTCTAGGTCTCCTAGCGAGAGATATTGCCAATCATTCATATGCCCCCAACACACCTTTGACCCAGGCCTTAAACCCCTTGAGAACAATGAAACGGCCGCCGTGTTGGTGTAACAAACCAATCCTATGGTAGTTGAACTCTTTTCTTATATAGATGGTTTCATTTGTTCCAATAAATTTGCAAAGATGCTGACCCCGTGAGTGAAAATGCTCTATACTCTGGAATTTGAACTAACCAGTCGGTGCACAGGCTCACTGAGTGGCATAGTCCGTGTAGGGTTTTTTTTGGGGATGCAAATCTTTTTCATCATTCCGCTCCTGAACTTCATCCTGCCAGCTTGTGACTATTCGAATTTCGATCGCCCAGAACATCTAACCAAAACCTGGTAAATTCAAGCGGTGTTCTTGACCTTGCCATCAATGATCATTACCTAGTACACGTCGTCCTTAATATGAAAGCCCCTAAACAAACTCCAAACTACATCAACACAAGAAGTTTTAAGAACTATAGAGCAGAGCAGTTCAGCATTGATATTGCTCATATCCCTTGGGACACCGTGGACTTAATGGAGTCAGTTGACGGGAAACTGGACGCTTTTAATGACCTATTTCTGACTTGTTTAGATAACCACGCACCGATAAAAACAGTAAAATTGAAGTGTTTACAAAACCCATCCATCACTTCTGAGATAGAGAAACTTGTAAAGACATGGAACCGACTCCACAGGAGGGCTCGGAAGAGCGGATCCGAGGAGGATTGGCAAGCGTTCATGAGTCTACGACGGGATATAAAATAAAACGTAAATCTATAAGGCAGGCAGAACGCAAATACTACAATAAACAAGTGATGGTTAACAAAGACAACAGTGGCTCCATGTGGAAAACAAAACTTCGCGCGCTCCCAAGTAAGCCTACTCGTGTCCTCAATACACCAAAGACGCAAGCACACTGGCGAACGAATTTAATCGCTTTTTTGTTTCTGTAGCAAGTAAGTTTGCGGAACTCTCACCGGTTGAATAACAGCTACTGCCCTACTAACATGATCGTGCCACATGCTGAAAACGACGTGTTTGAATTCCACCCAGTGTCCTGGGCGGAAGTATGGAAAGTGATCATGGCCTTACCTTCTAACAAGGCGCCAGGTTATGACAGGGTGCCCGTCTCATTAATAAAGTATTGTCTTGAGTAAATCCTGCCGACAATGACTCATTTACTTTCTCGATTTTTCCAGGAGCCTGCAAAAAAGGTGAAGTGGTTCCTCACCTTAAAGATGGGGATCACGAAGTACCAAATAATAATCGGTCTATCTCTCTTCTGCCTGTGCTCTTCAAAGTAGCTGAGAGAATCTCCCTGGGTCAATTTAACAACTACTTAACCACAAAAGCCGTCTCACTTGTCACCAAAGTGGAAACCAGATGCACCAATCGACGGAAACATTGAGCTTGCTAGTAAGCGATCACATCTTCAGTGCCATGGATAAAAAGCAAATTACGGTAATGGTACTTATTGACTTGAGCAAAGCCTTCGAAAGCCTATGCGATTCAACTCTCAAAAACCTTGTAAATGACAGAATTTGGGTACCTCCAACAAAGCTCTATGGTTCTAAAGTTACCTTACAAACAGTCAACAGTTCACTCGTGTTGCAACTTCATTGTCAGAACCACTCACTAATACGTAGATTTAGCCAGGGCTAAAAGCGAAACTCTCGATAATATTTATAGTTCGTTCAAACAAAACATAGAATCGTGTAATGCTAAGCGGCGAAGGCAACGCCGGAGAACGGTGAAAAACAACAATAGGTCGAATAAGCAAAAAAGTAACTTTGCACGTGCAGCACACTTTTTTCGTCCATTTCTTTGCCGTTGTTTTGCACGACTACAACGTGAAACCTCCAGAACCTTCTCAGTTACACTTTTAATGAGGGAAATGTCGCACGTTTTCTCGTTCACTTTTTTCACTGCCGTTCACTTTCACCTTGCATTTGATTGGTGGCCACTAGCATTTTTCATTTTGTTGCCGCCGCTACAAAATTTTCATGTTGTTCTTCCAACAAAAAAACGTCTCTTTTTTTTCTCTCTCGCTCTAGATCTCTGTCACCCTTTTTCTGGTTGAGCTACACTGGCCTGCCGCCTACTTTCTCTTTTTCTCCGTCTTTCTCTTGCTCTATATTCCAAATTGTGGACATGACAATAATATTAATCTAAGCTTAATATATTATCCATTCCTTGACCATTTGCTATCGGAACTTGATTCGTGTATTGTCGAACAAGTCCACTGTTTACTATAACAAATCTTTTGCCGAAAAATGTAGGTGACTGGTCTCCAGCTAAGATCAGTGTCAAAGAAGTTTTGGACTTGTACAATCCCGACATCTCGGAAGAAATTAGAAAATTACAGGAAAGAGAATGTCTTCGGTGGAAAACACGCTGGGCTAGAGTGCACGATCCTCCGGCCACAATTGTTGAAACACTTCCTCACTGTCACCTGCAAAAGTTCCCAAATTTATCCAGAGCATTTACGGCGCTTTTAACTCTACCAATCAACCAAATTTTACATTTGGCGAATGTTATGGTATACAATATTCTTTCTGCATGTATTGATACAACAGGCAGTAAAATACTCTCGCGCTTGAAGTTTAGTATTGTAACAGATATAGCGCTTTTTCAAATGATCTCACAACAGCCACTGTAATGTTAAAAGACAATGAAACCTCGGCTATGTTGGTGTACCAAGCCAGTCCTGTGGATGTTCCTCTATCTTCGTCTGTAAAAGCTTTTTTTCGTTACAATAAATTTGCATGGATGCTAACCACGTGAGTGAGAACACTCTTCATTCCGTAACTGAAATAACCTCAGTGCGCAGACTCACCGAGTGGCATAGCTCCTTTACGTTTTTTATTTATGAAGAGGTTGCACACAACTTTCATCATTCTGTTGCTGAACTTTATCCTGTCAGCTTGTGACTATTAGAGCTTCGATCTCGCAGAGCACTAAGGTGGGTCAAAGAGGAACTGTCTGCCAGTTTCTCATTAAGCCAGAACTGCTACTACAAGAACGCCACTAATATAATAGCCTTTCTTAACCAATTTGTTATAGCACATAACTGAATCATTTAAACACTTCTTGAATCAATCCAACAACAGTATTTTTGACTTAATGCCATAAAACGGTTTCTCTCAATCACAAGTGCAAAGTCAATTTGTCTTTTTCCACAATGGATTCGTTTCTCTTCCAGTCTAGCATTTACAACTAATCCGCCAACGATAAAAAGCTAATCACAAACTGATCCTACTCCGTATCGGGACCTGCTGCTTTTTTCAATCGTTAAGAGCAGCTGTTATAATTTTTACTCCTATTCTTGCTTTGATGCATTCTATTTCTAAACGAATTCAACAATATTAAGTTGTGAGTTAGAGATATATTTCTTAGAAAAAGAAAAGACTAGTAATCTATTAATCTTTTGAATGCTTTATTTTTTTTTGTAGAAGAAATGAAGTCTACACTCCTGCTGATCATTATTGTTGCCGCTTTTGTCGTTGCCTCAGAGTCCAGCATCTTAGATGGTCGCCCACTGGGAAGTTGTCCGAAGTGCCAAAGGAGAGATTCTCGTGGGAGATGTAGGCCTATCTTTAATTGTAATACCAGTGGAAAAAGAGAAATGCTGAAAAAATTCAACGACATGGGGCGAAAAATGCTACGTACCATGGAAGAAGACAACATAAAGAAAGACAACCAGTGATTGACTTTCTTTTGAATTGCTAATGCTGCACGTATAAGTTTTAGCCACTTGTAAAGTAAATCATTCCGTATTCATTGTAATTCGCAGTGGCCTAAAGGTACTGAATGAAGTTATAGGTAGGTGTTGGGTGTGATTATATGTACTTGTGAACAATTTTAGACTTTAAATTACAGTGGTTGACTTTCCAGCAATTTCAGTGCGGAAGACTCCCTCTAGGAATTTAAGACAATAGGAAAGTTGTAGAGCTAAATTCCATGTTGCAGCAATAAAATATTTACAGTCTGAAGTCACTATACCTTCTTCTTGTTGAATATCTTTTTGTTCTTATCATTTAAATTATGCATGAAAGTTACATTAGGAATAGAGAGCGAAAACTTCCTTTCAAAATGGTGTTAAGAAAAGCTCTGGATCATACATACGCCTTCAAATTCCCGAGATACGGTAAGGTCAAGGAGAACTAAAGGAAAGTTATAGTACTGAGAGGAGTGCTGCCGATGTGTTCAAACCCTAACCCTCTTTCAGACAAAACTCGTTGATTTCGCTACCCTCTTCGTCCCGCCACAAATTAAGTAATTTTTCAAACTTATGTGGAAAGATCTTCGAAGGACATTAACAGACTTATCACAACTGTGTCTCCCATCAGTACAGAGAGTTCTCTGTGCTATAAATATTTTAACCCTTTTACCATTTCTCTGCAAAAGGTGGCCAACATAATTTAAAAATTTAATTTCGTCCATTGTTGAAAATCCAATAGCGAGAGGTGAATTTGCTGCGAAAGAGGTTTCATTTCAATCATCACACCATAAGATTTCAACCAATCAGAAGCACTACCCAGATCTGGGTAGTGACACCTCATCAGTATTGAATTTCTGCGCTCATTTCTTAGACGTTATTTAGCGCGAAAACCGTTGATGGCGTCGCCAAATGTTACAGGATCACGTTTGTCCTAAGTCAGTGTAGAAAACATCTATCAAGGAACAAAAGTTTTGTATAATTTTTCCTCAAACAATTCGTTCTCATTTTTTTTAATGAAAAAAGATAGCATTTGGACTTAAAACTGAGTTTTTCTGGTTGCTGACTTCCAGGACCTTTTAGGACGAAAGGTGGTGGGGCCGGGGGAAGCATTATTAGAACACATATTTTGGTTATTATTAAACGATCGTTGAGTTTCTTTTCAGTAAACGGTCTTAAGTTGTTTTAAACAATAATTAGCAGTTTAATTTGTCTTTAAGCACCTTTCTAGACTCTTAATTATTATCAGATAAGTCCGACATGCAACTTGCTTTTCTTGTCTTATTCGGATAAAAAACAAAGTTTGGGATCATCAACTTACTGTTGTTACTATTTTTGCTTTCTGGGAAAGTAAGTCTGCATAAAATTATTTCATATCATATCGCGTTGCTTTCAGTGAAAGGACATTGGACCTATGTAAAAAAAAATAGTTATTTTCATTGTCTTTAAACATTTTTCGTTGCTGTCTGAAAATTCAAAATTATCATAAAATATAACGATTTCGCCCACACTTTTCCATTTCTTTATATATATAAATTGTTGGTAAAAAAAATTGTTTTGCCAGACAAAACTGATATCTAGACGAAAGCATCTACTCCAGCACGCAATGAAGTTTGCAGTCAATGAAAAAATTACTTATTGTGAAAAAAGTCAATTCGAAGTTTTTCTTGCTCAAGTTATTAATTTCGATGTTTGTCAGCACAAATTTGTTGGCCATGTGTAAAAACCCTCTAGAAAGTATTCTAATCTAATGAATTTCATTAAAAAAAAATATTGTTGTCTTTTTCTAATTATTTTATTTATTGTTTTCTTTGTATTCTTGTGTTTAAAAAATTGTCATTCAGAGTTATCATCGGTATTATTCTTATTCTGATGAAATGACCAAGTAACCTCTTTGCTCTGATGAAAATACCTCATTAAAGGCTTTAATTTTCCATGAGAGCCATAAAGAAAGAGTATTTATCTCGGGGAATTCATTTTCAGAACCTACAACAAACAAAATTATCAGCGCATTTGTAGCTATTAGGGATATTATTTAGAAAAACAC